AAACATTAATAGCTTTTAAGGAAACATTTACATTTCTAAAAATCCACCCATAAAATCATCAAAAATAAAACTACAAAGGAATATATGCAATGATTGTTTATGTTTTGAACTTTTTTTCTTTTATTTTCTATTCTTTTTGCTACAAAAAGGGATTTAATTATTATAGCACTGTAGCACTGTCCTCCCATTGTTCATCTATTTGCTCGAGCGGGCACCAGTAACATCTCCATGGTGAGACTTGTTGTTACTGTTTTTGGCATATCCGAATATGCCACAGTAGCTTGCCAGACTCTGCCTTGCCAGACTGCCGTGTGGGTAGGATACTCTCGGTAGCTTACCAGTCTCTCCGAGAAGGACAGAGGAATTGAACCCGGTAACGGGAAAAAAAAACAACAAGGATTTAGTTTTGAACGATTAACTTTTATTGGAGGGGGCCATGTGTGCAGTGCTCAGGGCTTGCTAATGGCTTTGTACTCAGAGTTCGTGTCGCCTCCAAAAGGATTTAGGGGACCAAATGGAGTGCCAGGGATCAACTTGGGTCAGCTGCATGCAAGACAAAACAACTCTGTTCTATCTCTCTTGTCTTGTTTTTTTTTTATTCAGATTTTTTTCTTTCTTTTTTTAAATTTTTTTTTTATTAGTGAAACACCATGAGGTACAGTTATAGACTTACAAATTTTTGTGCTTGGGTTTCAGTTATACAATGATCAAGTACCCATCCCTCCACCAGTGCCCATCCTCCACCACCACAGGTCCCAGCATCCCTCCCACCCCCCATCCCCCCCAAAAGATTAATCGCCAAATTTATTTCTTTGCTCAGATATTCTCTACTCTTTCCATTTTTGAGTTTCTGAGGGTAAAGCATTAATAGAGATAGATTCCATATATTTCTTATATAATCATATAAAATATACATGCCTCTGTAATTTAAAAAAATTTCATTATTCTCACTTAAATTTTATGAGCAATAGAAAATCATAGAAAACTTTTCAGAGCATACTAAAATGACAGTTATCAGATAAAGTTGTCAAACATATGAGTATATTCTAGTTTTTTGGCATAACTAAGAATGATAAAATAACTTGCATTCATTTTACTTTATGTGAACAACTGCTTTTGTTTGTTTTGTTGGGGGGCCACACCTTAGGGTGCTCACAGATTACTCCTTGCTCTATTCTCAGAGATCAGGCCTGGCAGAGCTCAGGGGACCAAATGGGGTTGCTTAAGATTGAACCTATGCCCACCATGCACCCTACTGTACTATTCATTCCAACCCCTGTAAACAACTCCTTTTGTTAAAAAAAAAATAGAATGCTATATCAATATATGTATATATGTATGCAAGAAAGTCTGAGATATGTTAATATAATTTTCTCTTTTCCATTTCCATTTCCATTTGAATAACTTAGTCCCTATTTTGCTGAGGCATCCATTGAACTCCTGCTGAATAAGAATTGTTAGAGAATGAATGAACAGAGAAAAAATGATGCGAGTATGCAGTATTCAACAGCAAAAGTGGGATTTTTAGAGCCTACAGAAAGGGATCATTATAGTAATAATAAAAAGGAAGAAGTGCTATTCAGATTTCATCAGCAACTGGGTTTCAGAGAACACAGTTAAACAATACTGCTAGGCAGCTGCCCTTGGGGCCTGTACAGCTCAGCTGGTGAGGTCTAGAGAGGTCAAGGACAACTACACTGTTTAGACCTTGGTGATAAAGCCTGGGGCTGAATGAGTAAATGAGGCAGGTCAAGATTCCAGGAACAGAGTTAAGTAAATTTAAACCTTGCAAGCCAGGTATTTGGAGTGGCGATGGCCACTAGATCTTCATGGGCCAGTGGCACATTCCCTTCTACCTTTGCTTTCCCTTTCATAAATGGGAGTTCTGAAACTCGGTGAGATCTAATAAAAAGAATTACAGAGCTTAGTAATTCTTGTATATAAAAAGTCAATGGTGAGGAAAAAAAGCAGTTCAAAATATCCTGACTGGGGGCTGGAGAGATAGCACAGCGGGTAGGGCGTTTGCCTCGCACACGGCCGACCCGGGTTCAATTCCCAGCATCCCATATGGTCCCCTGAGCACCACCAGGAGTAACTCCTGAGTGCAGAGCCATGAGTAACCCCTGTGCATTGCCAGGTGTGACCCTCCCCCCCAAAAAAAATGTCCTGACCAGAGTTAGGAGCATCAACTTTTGCCCATGTCATCCAGGGCTAATCAGTGAATGAAGGTTCATTTAGGGCAGGGCACAGGGATATCTCTCCAAGCTCAGAAATCCTGAAATCCCTCAATGATACTGAACACACACACAGGCACACACACATACACACACAATGAAATAAAGTAATATTATACATTACATACATGGACCTTATTACACTATCTATCCTCTATGTTATTTACTTTTAGCTAACTAACTTGCAATGAGAATCAAGGACAGGATGTTTTCCTGCTGCTAGGCTTTTCTGTTTCTTTCTTCTCTCCTCCCAGGTTTTGCTTTATAAATGTTGTGTTGCATTATTTGATACATAGATTTTGCAAGAGTTAGATCTTTAGTGAACTGCATTTTTAAATACTAAAAATGCTTTGTTTAGCTCAATTTATTTTTTGCCTGAATTCCTCCTACTCTGATACTGAGATCAAACTCCTTTCTTTTCTGTTCTCTTTGTATTTTCTTATAGGCCATCTTTTCATTTAGATCCTTTCAGAACAATATTGCTTTAGGTGTGTGTGTGTGTGTGTGTGTGTGTGTGTGTGTGTGTGTGTGTGCGCTGGAGAGAAGGGGTGGGACAGGCCAATCACACCCAATAGTGCCCATGGCTTACTCCTACCTCTGTGCTCAGGTATCACTCCTGACAGAACTCTGGGGACTCTACGGGGTTCCAGGAATTGAACCTGGGTAAGCCATGTGCAAGGTGAGTGCTTCACCTGATTTACTATCATTTCAGTCCCTAGATATGTTTCTCACTGTCGCCATAATTTATACTTCATGATGTACAAAGAGTGGTCCACATAGAAAAGCAGCTATGTAAATAAGACTTTGATTTTAAAAAAATCTGGTATGTTGTAGAGTATAAGGTTTGTGCTATTTCCTCCCAAACATATAATCATCTAATTTTTGATAAGGGGGCAAGAAAAGTGAAATGGAGCAGGGAAAGCCTCTTCAATAAACTGTGCTGGCAAAATTGGACGGCTACATGCAAAAAAGTGGGCTCAGATCTCTGCCTAACACCACGCACAAAAGTAAGATCAAAATGGATTTATGACCTCAACATCAGACCAGAATCCATAATGTTTATTGAAGACAAAGTTGGCAAAACTCTCCATGATATTGAAGCTAATGGTATCTTCAAAGATGTCACGCCACTGGCCGAGCAAGTGAAAACAGAGATAGACAAATGGGACTATCTTAAACTAAGAAGCTTCTGCACCTCAAAAGAAACAGTGACCAAAATACAAAGACAGCCTACAGAATGGGAAAGGATATTCACCAAGTACACATCCGACAAGGGGTTGATATCAAGGATATACAAGGTACTGGTTAAACTCCACAAGAAGAAATCACCCAACCCCATCAAAAAATGGGGTAAGGAAATGAACAGAAACTTTCGCAAAGAAGAAATTCGAATGGCAAAAAGGCACATGAGAAAATGCTCTACATCACTAATCATCAGAGAGATGCAGATCAAAACCACAATGAGATATCATTTCACACCACAGAGACTAGTCCACATACACAAGAACAAAAGCAACCGGTGCTGGCGCGGATGTGGCGAGAAAGGACCCTCCTTCACTGCTGGTGGGAATGCCGGCTGGTCCAACCCTTTTGGAAAACAGTATGGACGACTCTCAAAAAATTAGAATTTGATCTGCCATTTGACCCAGCTATAGCACTCCTGGGAATATATCCCAGAGAGGCAAAAAGGTATAGTCGAAGTGACATCTGCAATTGTTTGTTCATTGCAGCACTCTTTACAATAGCCAGAATCTGGAAAAAAACCTGAGTGCCCAAGAACAGATGACTGGTTAAAGAAACTTTGGTACATTTACACAATGGAGTACTATGTAGCTGTTAGAAAAGATGAAGTTATGAAATTTACATACAAGTGGTACTACATGGAAAGTATCATGTTAAGCGAAATGAGTCAGAAAAAGCGGGATAGACACAGAAAGAGTGTATTCATCTGGGGAACATAAAGCAACAAAAAGGGAGATTAACACCCAGGAATGGCTGAGATTAGTACCAGGAATTTTGCTCCATGAATGGAAGGCCAGCCACACGCTCTAGGTGAAAAGGAAGCTCAGATAGAGAAGAGAGTACCAAATGAAGGGTGTTGTGAGGACCCTCTCAGGGTGGGAGAAGCATGCTAAAAGTAGTCGATAGACCAAACATGATTGCCACTCAAAACCTCTCTTGCAAAACACAGTACCCAAAAGAAGAGAGAGAGAACAAGGGGGAATACCCTGCCACAGAGGCAGGATGGAACGGGGGGGGGGGGGATGAGGGGTGGGAGGGGATGCTGGGACCCGTGGTGATGGATGACGGGCACTGGTGGAGGGATGGACACTTGATCATTGTATAACTGAAACCCAAGCACAAAATTTGTAAGCCTATAACTGTACCTCATGGTGTTTCACTAATAAAAAAAGAAAAAAAAAAGGTTTGTGCTAACAATACACTGTCACAACCTAAGAAAACAAAAAGGATTTCAATGAATATTTTATATGTAAATAACCAAAATAAACTATGTGGAGCATCTGGATCAGAAGTTTAGGAAACAGGTTTTTATGGAGAGAAGTGTAAATAAGAGACAGTAGGGATTCAGAAATTCATGTAACATATGTTCACATCACTTCTTCTTGTATTTCTCTCATCAAAAATAATGTGGTCTCTATCAGCCTAATCAGTGGCTGAATAAATAGCAGTACTCCTATATTAAAAAATAATAATAATGTGGTGGGTATAGCTATAGGATGTCCAAAATTGCATTTCCTATCTTACCTTGGATGATCGGAAGGTAAAAGCTGTTGACTTCACATCAGCTTTTTCTTTGTCCATCAGTAGAAGATTTTTGTCTTCTAGGAGACTCAAGTATTTTCCTGTTGTGACATGACGTAGTCGGAAAGGTTGGCCCCATCGTATGTGGCTTCCACTCCACCTAATAGAAGGAATCAAGACTTGATCCAGCACACCCATAACCACAGAAGAAATCACAGTAAAATGTATCATACAGGGCTAGAGAGACAGTTCAGTGGACCATCCCAGCTTTGTTTGCAGAAGGCCTGCATTTGACCCTAAGCATCACATGACCCTCTGAGTACTGCTGAGAGGTCAAATTTGATCCTGAGTACTTCTGGGAAAGACTGAAGAATTGTGTGGAAAAATAACCCCTGAGCACTTCCAGGTGTGTTTGGCCTAAAAGTTGCAATTCAAAAATAAAATAAAATGTGCAAGGCAATGAGCAGTGAGACTTTCATATAGTAATGTTCTAAAAACTTTATACTATCCACAGTATATATGTGATTTTAAAATTATTGAATGTTACATAGATAATAGTATGTAAAGTGAAACAACTCAAGCTCTCTTACCTTTGAATGCAATATCATCCACACTATATTTTATTCCATACCAAAAAAAAAGATTAAGAACTAGTGTTTGAAATTAGCCTATAATGACTAGTTGCAGATAGTAGAGTTTGCATCAGTGTTTCACTGTCCGGGGTCATATGGTCCCTTGTGGGGCTCAGGATATCCCAAGGAAACTACAGATAAAATTCATGTAAATGGCAAGACCACCGCATAAGACTAGGGCTCCATTTGGTAGGAGAGAGGGACAACAAGAAGGAACAAGATCAGGAAGGGGCCATGGCCAGAAAAAGGTTGAAGAATGCTGGTTTAAATGATAATTTAAATTTTTTTAGTTAAAAATTTGTTGTTGTAGGGGCCGGAGAGATAGCACAGCCAGTAGGGTGCTTGCCTTGCCTGCAACTGACTTGAGTTAAATCCCCAGCATTTGTGGTCACACCCAGCTATACTCAGCACTTACTCCTGGCTCTACACTCAAGAATTACACCTGGTGGTGCTTCGGTACCATATGGGATACCAGGGATTGAATCCGGGTCTGCCACGTGCAAGACGAATGTTCTACCTGTTGTACTATCACTCCGGCCCTGCATTTCATAACGTCACCTGAGCACCACTTATTAGGAATTCCTGGGTGCAGAGCCAGGAGTAACTCCTGAGAATCATTAGGTGTGGCCCAAAACAAAAAAAACACCATGAGGTTTAATACAGGTCATCATAGCCATTTGTATTCTATAAATCAAGATTTGTTTGACATTTAAAATTTGAAATTTACCTTAATAAAATAGAACTCAATTTTGTATTGTCCCACTAATCTGGATTTTGATATTTTAATATGGAAAATTTAATAATATCATAATAAACTCACCTTCCATACATTGTTTATAAAGATAATTGATTTGGATAAGTCTTCCATATATAACCACATATCAATATATATTGACTATAATACAATTTATCTTATTAATAAAATTTGAATGTCTACCGATACTACCAAGTTAAACCCATTTTGGTCTGGTAATATGCAAGCTTTACTTATTTCCCTTTAAAAAAATAAAGTATATTCTTTGCAGACACTGAAAAACAACTGTTTGCAAATATTTTCCCATTATTTTAGCAAGAACTTGAATGTCTTTCTAAATAACCATCTTTAATATCAAAAAATGTTTTTTCAAAACTGACCAATACTCAAATTAATCTCCTCTTATATGTACCCCTTCCTCCTAATAAACAGAACAAGACAAGGAGAATCAACAGGCAAGAAAAATAAAATACAGTAAATTCTAAAAATAGTAATAGTAATGGAAGTATATAGAACAATTTCCAAGGTGACATATAAAAAGTTGTTCCCTGTTTCTTAGATATACATATTTTTTAAATTAATCTTGAAGGGAATGAGGATTATTCGTCATTTCTCATGATATATCAATCTCCGGTTTTGTTTACTTACAATAGATAAACAAAAAGTTAAATACGCATGCAGGTTTTAAATATAATAAACTATTACAGATGCTCACAAATGTATATTGGAGGAGAGAACCATGTTGCAGAGATGTCTTCCCACTCCAGGCCAGGATGATTTCATCCAGGCACCCCGGATAGGGGCAGATGTGTCCCTCTGCCTGCCCCAAAGAACCCCGGAAGCCACAAACCTCCAAAACTCAATAGCCATCATGCTCACGGCTGATCTTCTCAGGCTCACCCAGAGCAAAACAAGCATGAGAATGAATCCGCTGAAAAACTCAGGTATGCGGTACCAGTGACTGAAAACTCAGGCTTGCATGAAATCAGGAATATGTTCCTCCCCCAATTTCCCTGCCATTCTGGGTTCCTGGCAGTTAGGCTCAGAAATATACATTTAGGCACCATTTAAGCACATTAATGGCTATGATCCAGAGACTCACAAATAAATCTCAGAAGAGAGCACCACATCACAGAGATGCCTTCAGACCCCCAAATCACCATCCAGTTAAAAAAATTAACTCCACAAAACGCTACTCCACAAAATAAAAGAGGACATAAGGAAATGGAAATGTATCCCCTGCTCATGGATAGGAAGAATTAACATCGTCAAAATGGCAATACTCCCCAAGCACTATACAGATTCAATGCGATCCCTATAAGGATACCCATGAAATTCTTCAAAGAAATAGATCAAGCACTCCTGAAATTCATATGGAACAACAAGCGCTCCAGAATAGCTAAAGCAAATCCTGGGAAAAAGACAATGGGAGGCATCACACTCTCCAACCTCAAACTCTACCACAAAGCGGTAACAATTAAAACAGCATGGTACTGGAACAAAGGTAGAGCCACAGACCAATGGAACAGGGTGGAATAACCTTACACACAATGTATGAACATTTAATCTTTGTATGAGGGAGGAAGAAATGTAAAGTGGAGCAAGGAAAGTATCTTTAACAAATGGTGCTGGCATAACTGGACAACCACATGCAAAAAAAAATGGGTTTAAACCTCGACTTAACACCATGCACAAAAGTCAGATCAAAATGGATTAAAGACCTCAACATCAGACCAGAATCCATAAGGTACATTGAAGACAAGGTCGGCAAAATCCTCCACGATATTGAGGCTAACGATATCTTCAAAGACGACATGCCACTGACCAACCAAGTGGAAACAGAGATAAACAAATGAGACTATATTAAACTAAGAAGCTTCTGCATCACAAAAGATACAGTGACAAAGATACAAAGACAATCTACAGAATGGGAAAGGATATTCACCCAATACCCATCCGATAAGGGGTTGATATCAAGGATATACAAAGCACTGGTTGAACTCCACAAGAAGAAAACATCCAACCCCATCAAAAAATGGGGTAATGAAATGAACAGAAACTTTGTCAAAGAAATCCAAATGGCTAAAAGGCACATGAGAAAATGCTCTACATCACTAATCATCAGGGAGATGCAGATCAAAACAACAATGAGATATCTCACACCACAGAGATTGGTCCACATGCAAAAGAAGAAAAGCAACTGGGGTTGGTGCAGATGTGGGGAGAAAGGGATTCTCCTTCACTGCTGGTAGAAATGCCGACTGGTTCAGCCCTTTTGGAAAACAGTATGAATGATTCTCAAAAAATTAGAAATTGAGCTCCCATTTGACCCAGAAATACCACTCCTGGGAATATATCCCAGAGAGACAAAACAGAATAGTCAAAATGACATCTGCACTTGTATGTTCATTGCTGCACTGTTCACAACAGCCAAAATCTGGAAAAAACCTGAGTGCCTGAGAACAGATGACTGGTTAAAGAAACTTTGGTACATCTACACTACGGTATACCATGCAGCTGTTAGAAATGATGAAGTCATCAAATTTGCAAACAAGTGGTTCTACATGGTATCATGCTAAGTGAAATAAGTCAGAAAGAGAGGGACACACATAGAAAGACTGCACTCATATGGGGAATATAAAGTAACAGAGTGGGAGGTGAACACCCAAGAATAGTTGAGATAAGTACCAGGAGGTCTGCTCCACAGCTTGGAAGCTGGAAGCACATGCTGGGGGAAAAGGCATCTCAGATAGAGAAGGGAACACCAAGTAAAGGGTGTTTGGAGGACTCGCTCGGGATGCGAGATGTGTGCTGAAAGCAGACCATAGACCAAACATGATGGCCACTCAATAACTCTAATGCAAACCACAACACCCTAAAGGAAAGAGAGAGCAAAAGGGAATGCTCTGCCACAGAGGTGGGGCAGGGTGTGGGGGACAGGGGGTTGGGAGGGCTACTGGGTTCACTGGTGGTGGAGAATGGGCACTGGTGGAGGGATAGGTACTTGATCATTGCATAACTGAAATCCAAGCATGAAAGTTTGTAAGCTTACAACTGTACCTCATGGTGTTTCACTAATAAAAAATAAAATAAAAAATAAAAATTTAACTCCAGCTCTAGCATTCTATTCAAAATTTTAGAATTCCAGGAGTGATATCTCATACTTTATGCCACTGATATACCAAGAGTAGTACAGCACATTTGACGGGGTCTAAGGTAGAAGAAAACCAATCTTGATAAATATATAAATATGTGTGTGTGTATTAGCACACAAAGGCTCAAACTCTACTGGCTTCATGATGAGATACAACAATTTTTCACATACTTTCTTCTAATAAAATCTTTTGGATAATTTTTAGTCAATTATTCATAATAAGCAATACAAAATAAATTATTTAGCATCTGTCTGTGGGGCAGGCTTGGGTGTTGGTGGGAAAATTCAAAATAATAGTGGTGGGAAGACATAATGGTGGTGGGATTGGTGTTGAAATAATGAATGTAATCAATATTTTGAACAACTTTATAAAATAAAGTATAAACTAAACTAAACTAAAATAAACTATTAAAAAACTATACTAATCTATTCCAGAAACCATTTCCAATTCAGGTAAGATAAAGGTATGTGTTTCTATTGCATTTAGTTCACTAAATTAAAACAACTAATTAAAGTATTATTATACTGAACAGTTTTTGACCCTACTAATTTTTTTTTGCTTTTGATAAAAAATAATTAGTGTACTACATAAACATAATAACATATCATTTGGTGCTACATTTGAGAAAAGATACAGCATTCCAAATATTATGAACTGTGGCATTTGTAAATAAAGCTCTATTATAAACCCACGCTGATCTTTCACTATCCATCTTTAACTATAAAGGAAAAGCATTGATGTAGCAATTCCATATAATAAGATAAGTAAACAAAGTGCAACCTAGTTTGCACATTTATAGAAAGTCAAAGTAGTTCACACTCAACAGAATCTAGGAAAAACCTAAAGTATTTGTATCTGTTACATGTTAGCCTCCTGTATTCAAACCAGTGGAAAATGCAAATCAGTGATTTTCCACCTATTGGCTCCTAAGTGCCAGCAGCTGCCTAAGCATATTAACACCAGTTATTTTTGATGTTTCTACTCTAGTGGACTAGATAAAAAGCACTGCTCCAGATGAAGAGTCATAGAACAAGAGAAATAATCTCTAACTTAAAAATTAATTTATCTCGTGATTTACTGCATATTAATCCCTTCATTGCACCCCCCCTTCATTTTCCTTTCAATGCGAATATTCTAGTTTTTGCTGCTGCTTTAAGCTCAACAATATGACTTGCTGTGGGTAGTGAGCATTAGATTGAAATGCAAGTAGTGGATAGGACTCACTCTGATTATTTGTTCAGTTGCCTTGATTCGCTCCCACATTAGGAAAAGAATTCTCCATCCAAGGAGAGTGAAAAATATGGGACAAATCAGAACTAATAGATATTTTAAAAAAACCTTTAAATATAATCGTCTCATGTAATAAACATATTTGTGAAAAAGAAAGTGTCTCAAATGATGAATGTTTAGGGTGATTTGATAGCGAAACTGGAGCATTGTTTGATGCACATGCTAAAAACAAATGATTTCTTTAGAATCTATTGACATAATGTGATTTTTACCTTTCCATCTTTTTTAGTTTGGTTGGTTTTGGGCTACACCCTGAAGTGCTCAAGAATCACTCCTGCCAGGCTTGGGAGACCATGTGGGTTACTGGGGATTGAAGCTGGTCAACTGCATGCAAAGCAAGTGCCCTACCCACTGTGCTATATTTCAGGCCCCTCACACTTCCTTCTTCTACGATAAATTGAGAAATATTTAGGGTTTTCTTTCCTTACCAAAAACTTTATTTCTTTAATATACAATCATAAAGGGCAAGAGTATTTGTATACATGAAAAAAATCTACTTTAGAAAGGCAACAAAAACTATTCAAGCTTCCTCTGACTATTTCCTCACACACACACATTTGTCACTTTTCAAATAAAACTTAAAGTTTTATAATTCATAAAGAAAGAGAAATACATGCACATACTGAAAGCCCTTTACCATGAATTACCTGAATAATTTATGAAGCAAATAAAATTTATGATTCCCCCCTTTTCATTTATAAATCTCCCTTTTTTATCTGAGTGAAATTCTATTTAAAAAATGTTTTAGGGATACAATTTAATACACCATACCCCTGAAGTGCCAATATTCCCCCACTGCATCCATAGAATCCTACCCATTCACTCTTGTCCCATGTTCCAGATGCAACTTAGTTACCCCAGTTTCTCTTCAGAGATTAAATATACCTTGAAAAATGTGGTTTAACAATTTTCTTTTTATTCCTTTCAAATAGTCACTGCCAATATTGTTATTTGTAACTAACAATAGGAACTATCACTAATGACTCCTATACTCTTGCTCCTGTTCTGTTTATTCTGCTTTACACTTGCCCTTCAAAGGCCAAATCCCATGTCTGTGACACCAGAGACCTGACCAGCTTGCAGTTTGTCCTATTTCAAATCTTACATTACTTGACTTAGCCTCATTTTTTTTTGTTTTGCCATGAGAAACACAGACTGAAATATGATGATGGAATGCAAGACTCATGCCTTATATGCTGGTATTGGGATTGGGTTTGGTACCAGCATATAAGGCATGAGTCTTGCATTCCACCTCAGTTTGATAATTTACACTGCTTACAGTTCCATGAGCACTACCAGGAGTGATCTCTGAACACTGAAGTAAGAGTAATCCCTGAGCACAGAGAAGCAGTAAGTCCAGAGCACTGCCAAGTGTGGTCCCAAATCAAGAAATAAAACAAAATGAAAAGACAACAGAAGAATTTATAAAAAGCACTGCTTATGTCTAGTTTAACGCCTGGTGAACCCAGACGCAAAAAGACAAAAGGTGAACAGATGAGAGATCATACCCTTTTTGTGTTTCATTTACTTGCTTGCAATTGTTGACATGATGTTTTGTTGTTGTTGTTTTAATGCTTAGGAGTTACACCTGGCTCTCTGCTCAGAATTACTCCTGGCAGTGTTCAGGAAACCAAATGGGATTCCAGGAATGAACCAAGTCATAGGCAAGGCAGGTACCTACCCACTGTATACTCCCTCAAGCCCCAGGTATGACTTTTATTTTCTTTTTTTTTCTCTCTGTCTCTCTCTTTTAACATAAAGCACAGGTTTATGGCTTTAGAGTTGATTTGTACATTTGCATCATTTGTCCATATTTAGAATCTCTACTTACGCAACTCTTAGTGTTTCTAGTCTCCACAGGGAACGGGCATGAACTGATACAGCGCCACCTTCATAATGAACACTTCTGTCAAAAAAGAAATTAAGCCATTAAAAAATGTCTCATTGTTACATCTATGATTTAAGTAAAAGAAAAAGAAGTCTGTGGTAAAACAACTTGTCACACATGTTGATAGGATATATTACAGCTGGGTATAAAAAACCAAAAGAGCAATAACAGTGATCAACATAAATTTGCTTTGGATAAATATATATTTAAACATATTGTGTCATTTTTTACCTGAATATCATTCATCCCCTTTCTTTCTCCTTCCCGCTTTCCCTTCCTCTCTTCTACCTCTTCATAAGTGAATATTTGGTTTTACTCATTTAAAAATGATCTATAAAAATACTCAACTATGAGTTCCATAGTAGTTCAATTTGGGATTTATTATTAATTTTAGATATGTATATTAGCACTTCACAGTTTAAAATAGTTTTAGATAAATAAGTGACTAGCATCCTCATCAGTGATTTTTTTATTATGACTGGGAATAATCTTGTGGATAATTTTTTAATGATTGTTTTTGTTTTGGATCACACAGCTCTGCTCAGGAATTACTCCTGGCTTTGTGCTGTGGGTTAAACCTGGCAGTGCTAAAGGGACCACATGTAATACTGGGGGTCAAATTCAGTTTGGTCATGTGCAAGACAAGTAACTTTAGCCCCTTTACTATCCCTTCAGTTCTGTTTTTTAAAAGCTTGATACAATGCTCTTAACCAGTAACAATTTAAACCAAACTTGCAACTAAGATTCTTAAAAACTCTATCTTTATGGTAAGTCAACTTGGGAAACAATAGCCTAGGTGCATTTCTAAACAATATTATTGATATTTTGAGTTTTGCTTGGTTGATTTTTGGTTTCTGGTGAGGGGGAAAGGAGGGTTATATGGAAGATACAACCAGCTGTAGTCAGGACTTACTCCAGGTTTTGTGCTTAGAGATCACTCCACACAGTGCTCAGGGGACCATAAATGACATAGGGTCTAAATCTGAGTTGGAACCATGTAAGGTCAGTACCTATTCTATGTACCTCCTTGCCCAATATTATTGATATTTTAGAGCAGGTGAGTTTTTGTTGTGGGAGGCTATAATTAAATGGATACTGTAACCATTCCATTTCCCCACTCAGTTGTGATAATAAGGAATGTTTCCAAGGACCCAAGAGAGTGCAAGAGTTGAAGTGCTTGCCTTTCACATGACATATTTCAATCCTGGACACAGCATATGGTCCTGCAAGCACTACAGTGAGTGATCCCTCAACACAGAGCCAGGAGCAAACCCAAGCACAGCCAGCTGTGCCCCCAAACAACAATGAAAATTGTTTTTTAGAAAGGAATAGTTTTCAGACATTAAGAAATACTTTCTCTGAGAGAAAACCATTCAAAATACTTATCAACATAATAATCATCATCATTTAATCACCATCATCTGGTTGGCATTAATAATTCATCCATATAAAACAACAGAGAAATAAAACTATATAATGCATAAATAATATAATATCCTAAAACCAGTCCATAATTAATGACATTACATCATTCTACCTTATTTAGAAACAAGTCCACATGGAGAAATATATCTTCTTTATGAGAAGATTATCATGTTTCCCAGAAATATATATCAAATATTAAATCAAAGTTCAGAAAGACAATGGTTTTATATTTTAAATTAGCATTATTGTATTTGGGGGGTGCCACATTTGGTTTTGCTCAGGGCTTCTCCTGGCTCTCTGGTCAGGGGTCATTATTGCAGGACTTGGGAAATCATATGGATACTGGGGATGGAATCCAGGTCAACCATGTGCAAGGTAACCACACTACCTTTACTATTGCTCTGGCTCCAGAAAGACAAGTTTTAAAAACAGACAAGTCTACCAACTGGTATTATAGGTCATATTAAAACTTACAAGCTATAGAACAATGAAACAGGGTTGATTATACTGACATTTCCCCCCAAGCATACGAGCATCTAATCTTCGATAAGGGGGCAAGAAAAGTGAAGTGGAGCAGGGAAAGTCTCTTTAACCAATTGTGCTGGCAAAACTGGACGGCTACATGCAAAAAAATGGGCTCAGATCTCTGCCTAACTCCATGTACAAAAGTAAGATTTAAGTCGATTAAAGACCTCAACATCAGACCGGAATCCATAAGGTACATTGAGGAAAGAGTTGGCAAAACCCTTCATGACATAGAAGCTAATGGTGTCTTCAAAGATGTCACACCGCTGCCAAGCAAGTGAAAACAGAGATTGACAAATGGGACTATCTTAAACTAAGAAGCTTCTGCACCTCAAAAGAAACAGTGACCAAAATACAAAGACAGTCTACAGAATGGGAAAGGATATTCACCAACTACACATCTGATAAGGGGTTAATGTCAAGGATATACAAAGTACTGGTTGAACTCCACCAAAAAAAACATTCAACCCCATCAAAAAATGGGGAGATGAAATGAATAGAAGATTTCACAAAGAAGAAATCCGAATGGCTAAAAGACACATGAGAAAATGTTCCACATCATTAATCATCAGGGAGATGCAGATCAAAACCACAATGAGATATCACTTCACACCACAGAGACGGCCCATATCCACAAGAACAAAAGCAACAGGTGCTGGCGAGGATGTGGTGAGAAAGGGACACTCCTTCACTGTTGGTGGGAATGCCGACTGGTTCAGCCCTTTTGGAAAACAGTATGGTTGATTCTCAAAAATTAGAAATTGAGCTCCCATTTGATCCAGCAGTACCACTCCTGGGAATACATACCAGAGAGGCAAAAAAGTATAGTTGAAGTGACATCTGCAATTGTCTATTCATTGCAGCACTCTTTACAATAGCCAGAATCTGGAAAAAACCTGAGTGCTTGAAAACAGATGACTGGTTAAAGAAACTTTGGTACATTTACACAATGGAGTACTATATAGCTGTTAGAAAAGACGTCACAAAATTTACATACAAGTGGTACTACATGGAAAGTATCATGTTAAGTGAAATGACTAAGAAAGAAAGGGATAGACATAGAAAGATTGCATTCATCTGGGGAACATAAAGTAACAAAATAGGAGACTAACACCCAAGAATGGCCGAGATTAGTACCAGGAATTTTACTCCATGACTTGGAGGCCAACCACATATACTAGGGGAAAAGGGAACTCAAATAGAGAAGGGAACACCAAATAAAGGGTGTTGGGAGGATCCTCCCAGGATGGGAGAAGCATGCGGAAAGTAGACTATAGACTAAATGACTGTCACCCATTGCCTCTTTTGCAAACCACAACACCCAATAAGAGAGAGAGAGAAAGAACAAAAGGGAATGCCCTGCCACAGAGGCAGGGTGAGATGGAGGGCATGGGGGGTGGGATGGATACTGGGATCCGCAGTGGTGGGAAATGGGCACTGGTGGAGGGATGGGTATTTGATCATTGTATAATTGAAACCCAAGCACAAAAATGTGTAAGTCTACAACTCTACCTCATGATGTCTCACTATTAAAAATTTTAAATAAATAAATTAATTAATTAATAAAAACTTACAAGCTAAGGGATCACCTCAGAGCAAAAGCCTTTCCCAACAGAAATATTCAGAAGAAAGATAGTTGAATGGCAATAGCACCTTCTCAATAGGAAATTCCTATATAGATAGCACAGCGGTAGGGCGTTTGCCTTGCACACAGCCAACATGGCCGACCCGAGTTCGATTCCTCCGCCCCTTTCGGAGAGCCCGGCAAGCTACTGAGAGTATCTCGCCCACATGGCAGAGCCTGGCACGCTGCCCGTGACATATTCGATATGTCAAACACAGTAACAACAAAGTCTCCAATGGAGACGTTACTGGGCCCACTCGAGCAAATCGACGAACAACGGGAGGGCCTTTACCTTTTATCTTTACCTTTATATAGATAGCAAAAATAATGCACAAATGCAAGGGAAATCAGTGGATAAATGTAACAAAATCACTGTGCATTCCTATAAGTAAGTATTATTTTTTGCAATGAACACATCCACTGTTACAGCTAATGGGAAAAAAGTGTTTAAAATAACCAAGCATGGAAATTATAGTTTCTAGCCAATTTACTGAAAGAAACCTCCACCTTCTTAACCAGAAAAAGTCAGTCACTTAAACTTCACTGAGTAGCAATTTATAAAATAAGCACACTTAATAGTACCATCTTCAGTAACAATTTGAAATAATCCAATCTTCAGGTTATAAATTATAGAAAGATAATAGATCATCCCTCAAGATAATAAACCTCATCAAAGAACTCATATTTCAGCCTGATCATATAAAAATACCTAAAGAAGTCTTTAAATGTCCATTAGTAAGTATAAATCTCCCTTTACTATCAATTCCACTTCTCACAAATATTACATTATCATTATAGAATTGTCCATTAAAATATATGTAATCAACTCTCATGTTTTTAGAGATAAGATTCTATTTTATATTTATATTTTATATTTTATAAGTTTTATCTCAGGGTGTTAAAGCATTTATTTCTCAGTAAAAATCAGAGTCTTTGACAACCATTAATCGACTCTGAGACTCAGCAAAACATCAGCATGATGTTCATCATGACATCATTATCACGATCATGACCATCCTGTTGTTCGTCGATTGCCTCGAGCAGGCCCCAGTAACGTCTCCTTCATCCTAGCCCTGAGATTTTTTTTTAAAGTCCCATATTCAAGGTTCTTTCAGGGTTAGGAGAATGAGACCCATCATTGTTACTGGTATTTGGCATATTGGGTATACCACGGGGAGTTTGCCAGACTCTGCCGTATGGGCAGGTTACATTCAGTAGCCTGCCAGTTTGTCCAAAGTAGGAATAAGATGATAAGATGTCATGACATAATGAAAGCAAAAGTTCTTATAAACTCTTCACAGACTTTTGACATATATTGGCAAATATTTATAAGGAAAGTTTATAGAATACACAATTTCAATAATTGGATGTTAGTACATAATTAATAATTAACAAAAGATTCAATTTTCTAAACAAACAAATGGACGGAAACTTATTGGTAAAT